TCCTTTTTTATTACATCAGTAAATCACAGTGGTTACAATGATTTCAGAGCTTGCGATGCAAATTACTTGTGTGTTAGCTATTGTATTTTTCTGCCACAATAATAAAACGTTGCCTTTATTCTGATTTCTTTCTTATATTTTTTTTAATTCCTGCTTGCAGTTCAGAGTTCCTCAGAGCATGATTAGATCTTAGGTGTTTCTTGCCAACTTTTAGTTTCAGCTGGCATGGAAAAAGGCAAGCAGAAGTCCATGCCAACTCTTGCATTAGTTGTGCCTCAAGAACCAGTCAGAAGACAGCAAACTATTCAGAAAAGTCACAAAGTCATGCAATGTGAACAGATAAAATGTTGGACCTCCAGGTATTATATTGAATTGTTGACAAATTCTCCCATTCACTGCTTTCAGTGAACATAAATTGGTTGTATCATGTCAAAGTGAAAGTTCATTTGGCAAAATATTCTCTCTCTGGGGTAATTGGTAGAAGAAACTGAGGCAGGGTACAGGACAATAAGGAAATATTGTGATATGTCTTCAACTGGAGCTACAGGAGTTCTGGATAGCAATGATTGTAGATTCCCACTAAGCTGTTGCTTCACTCTTTAAAGTGATCCAAAATTTTACCATCAGCAGCTTGCTGTGCCACTAAGGTCTGTTTCTGAGTCTTGAGTGCATCCTTGTAAGTGTCATAGTTCTTTATGTGAGAAGAGGTGGTACCATTCCTATCAATTTTTCTTATGGTGCTCATTTACTCTGACTCCATTGATCTCAGAGTTGGCCCTCTTTGGATTTCTCTCTTTTGCCCTAGTTATCTGTTTATTTAATGATCCAGATGTATAATCGTTGGGTAGCCTTGGTTGGTACCTTTGTACTTACATGATGGTTGATGACAAACTCAATATGACCTGGCCATCATCACTCCCAGCCCAGAAAGCCAGTGGGATCCTGCGCTGCATCCAAAGCAGTGTGGGCAGCAGTGTGAGGGAGGGAATTCCTCCCCTCTGCTCTGCCCTAGTGAGACCCCACCTGGAGTGCCAGTTCTGGTGCCCCCAACACACAAAGGATGTGGGACTCTTGGAGCAAGTGCAGAGGAGGACATGAAATTGATAAGAGGTACAAAGGCTGAGAAAGTTGGGGCTGCTCACTCTAGAGAAGAGAAAGTTGCACGGAGACCTCGCAGCAGCCTTCCACTGTCTGGAGAACTACAGGAAAGCCAGAGAGCAACTCTTCGGGGATTGTATTGAAAGAACAAAGAGTAATAGGTACAAACTGAAAGAGGAAAAACTTAGGCTTACAGGTTAGGAAGAAATTCTTTCCTGTGAGGGTGGTGAGGCACAAACAGGTTGTCCAAGGGAGATTGTGGATATCCCAAGCCAGACACTGTTAAAGGCTGGGTTGGATAATACTTTGAGGAACCTGGTTTAGTGGAAGGTATCTCTGCCCATGGTAGAGGTGTTGGAACTAGATAATATTTAAGGTCCCTACCAACCCTTAACATCCTATAATTCTGTGTTAACAGTTTCGGATGGGTCAATACTGATAAGGTGCCTGGCCAGTCTTCAAGATGCTGGTGTACTATGGACACAACCATGTAATGAAGCTTCTGATTCACTCTAGACTTGTCCTCATGCTATTTGCTTTTCTTTTCATCATTGCTGAACCTCTGTGTGACACCTACACAGAATTGCATACTGTGTGGACTGGTACTGTTAGGACAGAGTCCTAACAGCTTACACAGTTTTGCATTATTCAGGCAGAGTTAGGATTGTGTTCCTCTCATGTTCTTTGCATTTATCTATATAGAATTTAATCTGGCATTTTATTACCTTGCTATTCAAAATCATGAAAACTTTTGCAGGAAGGTTTACTCTTACCATGCTGAATAATTTTAATTTATAGTCAATAAATCTCGCCACTTCCTAAACCCACCTCCTTTGTGCGATAATTTATAACTACATTTTTCAATTCAGACTCTCACACAAATCCATTTTCCGGGAAATTTAATCATCCTTCCCTTTGCCTTCTGGGCTTGACCATCTTGCCTAGAAATTTCAAAGCAAAGTTCGGATCAAATTGAATTGCTTTCATTTAGATGTTAATAAGTTGAATTGTAATAAGACGTTTTTTCTTGCAACATTAAGAACAAATTTCAGCACCAAGATTAAAGCAGGCTATCTTCAGGAAGTGTTGATGCTTTCAGTGCCATGTTTGTTCTGTTTTCTCCAAATCAGGATCTATTAAGAGTTTTCAGTAACATAACTAAAAATGGATTAGTACAGTTTTGCATATGTGTGATAGTACTGCATTACTGAGTTGATTGAATCTTTTTTCATTGCTACTTTTAATCTGTTGTTGATTATCAAAACCAAAATCATTATTATAATGGAGTATATCTTCTCTCCATTGTTTCAGTGGAGCATATCAAATAAACCGAGGCATCTGAAATTGGGATGTGCAAAAAATGCAGTATTTATGTCAACATAAATTTATTTGTGTTAAATAAGTGATGCTAATGAATCTTCTGTAAAGCTGATTTTGTAATAAGTCAAGGGTTACAGAAGAATTTGCACAATTGGAGGACAGCATTTAGCTTTGCAGCAATATGTCATCTGTTGCAGATCTTTTGGATAAATTCCATTTTACTACTTTACATAAAACTTTCATGTACTTACCTATGAAAAATCACGTTCTTTAAATGTTAATGGTTGTAAATGGATAAAGTTAATGGTTGTTTCTTTATTTATACTCAAATAACATTCTTCATTAGACAAGTTAGAAAAGGAAGTCACGCAAACCACCTGCCCTTCTTTCTTTTGTTTTCAACACCACACATTTTCTTAATTTTCCTTTAAGGGGACTTTACTGTGAAATTCTAGATGTAAAAATCATGCCTTCAGCTTTTTGCAGGAAAAGTGGACAATGCAAAAGCAGAGCATGTCACCTTGCAGAGCCCACCACATACAATTTTAAGTAAAACAGACCAGGAAGGAAGTGTAACTTATAACTGGAGAGCTGGAAATCTAGCCAGATCAGCTCTTCTTTTTTCTTTATTCAAAATGTAAATTATAGAGTGAGAAGAGAAAATAGTTTTTCCAAAGAGCAAATGCCACCACCCAGCTCTTTCCTAAACACTGTTTTCCCTTTCACTCTCTAATCCATCTGTCCTGCCTGTGACCATCTCTAACTCTCAAGAAAGCCATATTTCAGTTTTTTCGGCACTGCTAGTTAAAACACTAACAGGCCTGATGATGTTGGTTCCTGTTCTATGTGATTATAAGGAAATCAGCCAAACTCTCATCTCATCTCATATAACAAGCAAACCACCCGCATTTCAAGACAGAACAAATTTTTTAGAGAGCTTTAGGTAGGTTCTATGAATAGGGGATATATTAGTAATGTTGTAACATTGTATGGTTTTTTCCACGTTCATTTTCACTTCAATATAACAGAGGTACCTGTTTTATTAGAGGCAAATTTAACATAGCTTAAGGTATTTATCAGAATGTGTCTGTTGCTTTTCTACATGTTATATGACTAACTTCAAAAATTTTAAACTGAGTAATAGTAGCAGCCATGTTTGCTCAAGCAGAGGCATTTGAGGTCTGAATGAAATGGGAGGGGCAGTCCAGAAGTTCTATATTAAAGTTCTGTTTTTCTAAATGTGACAATGTTTATGTCTTGTACATGCTAATGAATATTACATAGCTTTCCTGATTCTTATCTTAGGAGTTAGTTAGGAGTTATGGAGTTATTTTACATTCATTGCCCTATTCTTAATATTACTTCCAGTGTCAAAACTTCTGTTCTTGAAAGAATTGAAGTAAAATGAGCTAAATGATTTGAGTCAGATATACTGTGCAATCAGGACTTACCTCTCCTGATTTCTTCAGTGTATAAAAGACAAACTGCAATACCCATGTCAGAATCTGATTGCAGCTCAAGTTTAAAACACATTCTTGAACAACATTTTCTATCTAATTAGCACATTTTCCTCATGTACTTATTACAGACCAATCTGTTTGCAGATTTAAAACAAAATGAGCCTTTTCTTCTTTGTCTGCCAGTCATGGGAAATAATTCTCTGGAGCAAAGAGCAGCAGGTTTTAAATATATTTATCATATCAGTATTTTACTAGTCCATATGATTTCCCATTTAAGAATAAATAGTCATCACATTAATAATGAGCTAAGTTGTCTTCTAGGGAGGAAACTGAGTCAAAGATAGTTTCATGATATGTTTAGTCAGCACAGAAAGTATAAAGGCCAGATATTTTGGACTTGTCAGCCACAAAACTTATCTCTTCACTCCATCACAATTACTAATTTGACAGTAGTAGAACATCTTTTCTTGGTACAGAAATAAATTGGAAATCACTATCACAATCAATTGCTTAATTGGCATGCTCTATTATATGTGTACCTTACAAAATGTATATTAAGATGGTTTTATTTCAATTATTGAATTCTCTGTCAACATGAATTTTTTTTTTTTGTTAAGGCCATTCAGTTTTTGAATGTTAAGCAGCACTAACTATTTGCATATATCAGTACAGTCAGCTTTTTGCTCCATAGACACAAATACAGGGTGCTCTTTAAAAAATTGTGAATGTTGCTAACCTTCCATTAAGGATCTGTGCTAACTGGGGTTTAGATGGAAGTGAAGTCAGTGGTTCATGCATAGCACCTATAAACTCCTATTAGCCACAGACCTATGCCTATGCATTTCCCTTAGTTCTGCAGCTGAACAAAATGAAGATAAACCCAATATAACTGACCTTTTCTTTAGACAGAGGACAATATTTGCTTACTGTGGACACTACTGAAACTCAAACCAAAACAATGTAACTATTTTCTACTGACTGCTTTAAAACTCTGTGCCTAAAAATAACTATTGTCTATAAGAATAGGTAATGATACTAGTACCAATGTGAGTCCTTTTTCTGGGTAGAAGACATTAAACTTAATGTCTCTTTCCCCCTACACCCCTCTCTCTCTCTTTGTAGATGCAGCAATTGTTCCACGAAAACTATGAACACAACCGCAAGGGTTACATTCAAGATCTTCACAACAGCAAGATCCACACAGCCATAACACTTCATCCAAACAAAAGACCTGCCTACCAGTATAGGCTGCACAGTTACATACTGAGTCGCAAAATTTCTGAACTGCGCCATCGGACCATCCAGCTCCATCGAGAAAGCGTCCTGATGAGCAAGCTCAGTAACACTGAAATAAATAAGGAAGATCAGCAACTGGGAGTGGTGCCATCTTTCAATAACTTCCAGCCACGTGAAAGGAATGAAGTCATCGAGTGGGAGTTCCTGACAGGAAAGTTTCTTTACTCAATGGTGGAGAACCAGCCACCCCGGCAGAGCCTGAGCAGCGTCCTGCGGGCTGCACTGGATGATACTGTGATGCAGGTCATGGAAATGATAAATGAGAACTCCAGATCTAGAGGAAGACTCATTGATTTCAAGGAAATACAGTATGGGTACCGCAGGGTAGACCCTCTGCATGGAGTAGAGTACATTCTGGATTTACTGCTTTTGTACAAAAGGCATAAAGGAAGGAAAGTTACAGTTCCAGTGAGACGCCATGCTTACCTTCAGCAATTGTTTAGCAAACCTTTCTTCAAAGAAGCGGAGGAGCTGGATGTAAAAAGCTTGCTGGAGGACACCAACAGTGACACTCAATCTTTCTCTTTCCTTTCAAATTCTTTAAAGATTTTTTCCTCATCATTCCAAGGCACCAAAGACACTGGGGGACAGAGTGACAAGAAAATACATATTCTTGTCCCTATCATGGGAAGATTTGATACTTTCTCAAGATTTATGGTTAATTTTGAGAAGACTTGTCTGATTCCCAAGCAGAATGTAAAGTTGGCAATAATTCTCTTCAGTTCTGATTCGGAGCCAGACTCTAGCAAACACATAGAGCTAATGAAAGAATACAGCATTAAGTATCCCAAGGCAGATATAACCCTGATTCCAATGTCAGGAAAGTTTTCTAGAGGTCTGGCTCTTGAGATGGCCTCGTCTCATTTTGACAATGACACTTTGCTGCTGTTCTGTGATGTTGACCTAGTATTCACATCAGACTTCCTCCAGCGATGCAGAGATAACACTATTCAGGGAGAACAGGTTTACTACCCTATCATCTTCAGCCAATACGATCCAAAAGTAATATATGGAGGCAACCCTCCAGCTGACAGTAGTTTTGTTTTCACAAAAAGAACTGGATTTTGGAGGGAGTATGGATTTGGAATTACCTGTATTTACAAAAGTGACCTACTTACTGCTGGTGGATTTGATACCTCGATTCAAGGCTGGGGACTTGAGGATGTAGATCTCTTTACTAAAGTGATAACGTCTGGCTTGAAGGCCTTCAGAAGTCAGGAAGTAGGAGTTGTCCATATTTTTCATCCTGTTCAGTGTGACCCCAACTTAGATCCGAAACAATATAAAATGTGCTTAGGGTCCAAAGCAAGTACATTTGCCTCTACCATGCAGCTCGCTGGACTCTGGCTACAGAAACATTTGGGTGTCAGGTACAATTGGACTCTCTCCTGACAACTCAGCCTATTTGGCCTTTTTAGGGGAGTTTACCTCATTGCTGTTCTTTGATTTTGCTGTTGTAGTTTTAAACTCCCTCCTTGTAGTCTTCCAAAGACTGTTGACCTCAAACGGGCTGACTCTGCTGTTCACTGTTGTTTCTTATACCTACTGAACTGGTGAAGTGAATTCCTTCATATTTCCTTTATTTGAAATTCAGTCTTGTCATGGAAATCACACAAGCCCATGGAGCATATTCATCACAAGAGACTGTATTAGAAGAATGTTGTCTTTCAGTTTTTGGATTCAGTATCATCTTTGTTGCATTTCTCAGATTTGATGTGATACTAATATTTACTGGTGAAGGTACCACAAAAGTGCTTTATGCTTCTTCTGGGGATGGAACTCTCTAAGATAAACTTAAGTTTTATAATTTATATGAGGACTTATATGTATAAACGCTACTTTTCTTCATCTTTCGAATTTTTAAAGTAAATGAATAACTATAACTGTATGTTTATTTTTTAAAAAAAAGAGTAAAGCTGAGGAGCTACTTGCAAATACAACTGGTACTGGCTACCAAGGTCCTTAAATGTCTTATTATTAGAACAAACTCCTCATTGTTATTCAGTCAAAGTGTAAATGAACTTTATTTTCACAACAAACAGGATTTAATCAAGTGCTCATCTACACTTTGAAGATTATTTGAGCCAACATCCTTCATTTGCAGGCAAGAAGAAACTATGACTCAACATGGTGATTTATGATAAAGTGCAAGCATACAGTGTTCTTACTTTGAAACACATAGGATAAGTTGTTCTTTCTCTTTTTAGAATGAGTCTCTAATACATAATTTACTTTTACATTCCTTTCATAAGGCTGAACTTCAGTGTTAAAAGTTAAAGCTGTAGTTTTTTGTTTTACATTTTTCATGAATATTGGTACTCAGTAGCAACTTGTTGTTAAAATTAAGGTAACTGTAGAATAGTTATTTAAGTTTCAAAATTTACTATTGCAGGTCAAAGTTCCTTGCCAATATATTTATATTAGTGGAGGTTATAAGACTGTTTTCAGATTTATTTCTCCAAACCGCCTGAAGTTGCCATATTGTGGATTCATGAAGTAAAGTATTTAATACCAACACAAGAAATAATAAAATTAATTTCTGTATTTTAAAGAAATGTTTATATAGGGATATATATGTGTGTGTGTGCGTGTGTGTATATCCCTATATACATAGATATATAGAGAGAGTAATTTCAATGTTCCACTTTTCAGTTCAGGCAGTGATTTGCTACAATCTTGTTTTTTTTGCCATATGCTTGGAGCATTTCATGTTATACTGTGGTAAGACCTTAGAGACATTCAGGAAACCATCAGAATTTAACTAAACTTAAGTTATTACAGTGGGTACATCAATAACCTCAGTACCCTGGATTTCAAACTATATTTCAAACCGAGCTGGGCAAGAAAAAGTGGTGAGATTTTTAGCTGTAACTGACTGCTTCTGTGTTTCCTTAAAAAAGAAAGCCAACCAAAAAACCCCCCAAACCCCCCAAAATGACTAAGTGATTGGAATTCACTGGCACATCTGTTTGTGGGAGGAATCCAGGTTATTTCCTAAGGTTTGAAGAGGGTATGCAGGTCAGTTAATGTCTGTTATCTGTGGTTCTCTGTTCTGGATTTACCATGCAAAGAAAAAGGCAACCTTGACAAGAACTGAGTAAATTCAGAATTAAAAGGCTGGCCATAGTGTGCTCTAAGAAAGGCCATTTCCTTGCCCTGGAGAAGATAGTAATTGTTGTAGGTGAGAACAGAGACTGTAATTCATGTTTGTACCAGCCCTCCTCAAGCAGAACTCCTGGGCTGTTATTTTCCTGGAGGCTCTTGCCTTCCTAGCCTAGTATTGTTAGCTCAAATGTATGACAAAAGAAAAATTCACTTTCAATTTATATTATAATTCTTGGAAATTGCTCTTCAAACCGAGTGCAAAAGTCACACTTTTTTCCTTAAAAAAGCCAAGAACAAGAAACCTGATATATTTTAAAAATCTCAATTAACCAATGCAACTCAGATTGTAAATATCAAAAACTGATTGCCTGTTGATAAATATTTGTGATGATTTCATAAACAAGAAAAAACCTAATGACTTAGAAAGATATCTAAGGAAATCATTGTCTGCGGGGATGTATTCCAGTGTTTATTTCAATTACTTAACTTAGCGGCCAGAAAGTATTTGCTCAACTCAAAGTAAAATAGTAGATTAGAACAAGCAATGAAACCAATCATTCAGTGGGGATAAAGATGTATACAGAGGGCTTGCAGGATCAGGTCCTACATGATATAAGCAAAATGCTAGCATTTACCAGTACAAATATTTATTTAGTGTCTTGACTGATTCATTTGTTTATATGATGAATTACTTTGTTAAAAACCTGATTATAAATGTTTATTATGAAATACTGCATTTTCTTTTGAAATAACTATCCTGAGATAACTTGAGAACTTGTGTTAGTTTGTCTAAGGAATAATATGCCTTCTAAGGAGATCACATTAAAAGAAAAAAAAAAGCACAAAAGTGTTAATGTTATGTATGTATAGATTAGGATGGGAATATCTGTGTTAATCAACTGTTTGCTGTTCTAATCTGAATCATAATCTTGATTGTAAAATGAAATTTCTATGTGTATAATGTCCCTTTGTAAATGCATGACAAGTGAATTCACAATAGAACATAACAATCGATTCTTCCCCAAACCTCCTTCCCCTGGGAATAATTTTCCTGGCTTCATTGTTGGGAAGTGGGTTGTGAACAGCTCATACTTTGGCTTTTTAGACACAGCCATTCTTAAAAAAAAAAATCTCAGCATTTGCTACTCAGAAACCTCAGAAATCCCCAAACCACTGCATCATGGCATGTTTTCCCAGTTGCAGTGTTTAATTTAACAGAGCATTTGCATCTCCTGGATGAAGGAAAAACATCATGCTGGGCTCTGTGGGACTTGATGAGTGTACTCTGCATCAGGGTACTGGCTCTCAAGCTGAAGAAAGGCAGAAGGCCAGGGGGAGGCGTGAGGCTCAGCCATGGGAGTTGGCACCTTGTGCCCAAGTCACCCCTGTGCTGCCACCTGTGCTGCCCACGGCCTGCCATGGAGCTATGACTTGGCAGCTCAAACAAGCACAGAAGAGCTGTGCTTGCTGCCACCAGCTGCTCTTAAGAAGCAAAAGGGCCGTTTTTATCAGGGAGGAATGAAAGGAGGGTCTTAAACTGGGGATTCATCGAGGGGGGTAGCAGGTTGTCTTGTGCAGATCATGTTTCTCACTGTCTCCAGGTGAAAAGACCCTGGTCCGACATGGCTTCCCTCTGTTTGCACTCCAAGGGCTTTGAAGGAAGGGGCAAAACTTCACGGGGCTCATGGACCTGCATCATGTACTTGAGCCCTACCATATCATGGGACATGTGGAGGGAAAAGGTGCCACATGGTCTTCCCGAAGAGCAGTACAGAGAGAGGCACCTTCTGCACTCAGCAAATGCCAGCTGTGCACAAAACTGTGCACAAAACTGCCTTCTGGAGCCTTTGCTCTACGGTGTGCTTGATAATAGTTCAAGATTCTTCCCAAAAATTACTGTGCTGATAAAATGACTCCTAGGAGTGTATTGCACATTCTCAGTAACTGGAGAGTTGCAAGCAGCATGAGTTAAAAACCACTTTTTTTTAATCAGAGGGAAATAAACAATTTAAACTTCTTTTGATGTCTTAACTAGTCACTACAATTACTTAAGATGTAGTTTCCTACATCAAACGTTTTGCTTCAAAAAATGATGCCAGCTTTAGGGCACAAAAAACCCCCCATATGTGTAGTCTATATCGTATTTTCCTGCAACATGAGATCAGTTAAAATTTATGGAAAAAAACAGGGGTTAGAAATTGATGAGTCACTGACAGAGGAAAAGGTTTAGGTTTCTGCTGTATTTTTAAAAGATAATCGAATCAGGAGAAAAAACTACTGTGTTAGATACACACAAAAATTAGCCATGATGTTAAGTAGTGATAGTTATGGTCCTAAAATGCAGCAAAATGAGATGTTTCACTAAGTCTAACTTCTTAAAATGACTGAATATCACTGAATATCTGTTGTACATCTGTAAGTAATGTGTAATCCATTTTTAATTCATTAATTTCTTAGAATGATTTAAATTTTCTTCCATCAGCATATATTCACTTGATTAATAAGATTACTTGTCATGACTCACTCTCAATTTCCTATTTTTCTTTTTTCTTGGGTCTCCCCATTTGCAGTATGTGTTACTACAGAATTGAAACTTTTTGAGCTAATATATGATATTTCTATTACAGTTTTATGATTTCGCTGCCACACAAAACTGCTGAACTAGAATATTTTAGTGAGTAAGTTTCCAGGCCTACTTCAAATTGTTTCCATTTGCCTGTCACTGTAAGTTAAAAGTGTTCTAAATATTATTACTTCATTTCTTCCTCTGGTCTCCTTCATACCAGAATTACACTAAAGTAAAGGAAAAGCAAAAGCTTTGTAATGCTTACATCTAGGAAAATTAACATAACCAGGGGATTTGTGTGATCCCTTTTTTTTCCCTTATCTTTTCCTTTTTTTTTGTTTTGTTTTCAAGTCTTTTATATCAAATTTCAGAACCTTACTTAGCAGTTCTATAATTTAATAAAAGAAATAATGGTTATTAAGATGTAAGGCAGCACATATATTAGCTTCACCCTACAAACTGTCATTTTAAATCTTTATTTTCCATTCACTTTATTATTCAACAGATGTCTTCTATTTATAGGGACTTAAAAGATAAATTAAAAGCATCCTTGCTGGTTCAGTATTAACCTAGTCTTAGTGGAGAGCTTAACCATGTAGGCATACATCCAAAGATGTAATCTATACTGCAGGCTGCTGATTCAATGAAGATATTCCTGAAAGACATGTATTCTAGCTCACAGTGGTGCCAAACAGTTTAACTTAGAGCAGGTAAATTGCCTTTAGGTGATTTCTGTAAAAAAAGAAAAAAAAGAAATTAAAAACTTAAAAATGCTTGTGCTTGAGATTAATAACATTGTTATTACTGGTTATTTGGGAA